AAAAAAAAAAAAAAAAAAAAAAAAGCAACTCTGATCCTTATTACTCAAAATACTCGAAGTGAGTTTGGACACTTTCCATAAATACTGTGGAATTCTCATAAAGATCATCCCAAACAACTAGAGTTTACAGGAAACTAATTTCAAGAATACATTCCCTGATATCATCAGACAACACTTTCTAATTGAGCAGAGAGCACTCTGATTTTTAAGTAACATTTCAGATAGCTATATAAACAGGGGGAAATGACTAGATTTGTGCTGTATGGAGAGGGAATGGGGCTGTGCATGCGTGTGTAGTGGTTCTTCGAGGAGGCCAAGTTGAAGGTTTAAATTCCCCTCCCCTAAAGGCAAAAGGCAAAATCCCTTCACAAAAAACTTGCAATAGAGAAGTAAGACTTCAGGGTAATCACTAGCTGCTGCTCAACTCATGTGCAGACATTTCCTAGCAAAATGTTTGCAGTACTTTTTATTTATTTGAAACATGTCATTTTTAGAAACTGAGAAAGGTTTCAGAGATTCATTAAATAGCTAACATTGACGTTATCGTCACAGTTTAAAACCTGGCTTTACAGTAACTCTACTAGTACATTTCTGCTAAGAAAAACAGAATCTACCATGATGAGCACTAGCATCTTATTTGACTTCTGTCTTCTGCAACTTTTTAATCAAGCGGCTCTCATCTCTCCAAAGTCACGTGACAACTGCAGCCAGATGACCTTTTATCCATTTTGATAGCTGAGGTCAAGCCAACCGCTTTTAAGCCTCAACTCACTGTCTGCAAAGGCATTTAGGATCTAACAACTGCCTTGACCACCCTTGGGAAACAAATCAATCAATCCACCCTATTGGACTTGAGCACATTCTCTGCCATCCTGAAATCAGGGGGCGGGGGAACCAATCTCCCAGTGAACAATACTGTTATTCACCTCACATATTCCAACAGGTTCCAGCTTCCTTAAGCCCTATGCCTTTCACAGCAAAATGCTCATCCTCTCTAGAGGAGAGATTTCCTGCTCACACATTCAATTCAGAGCCAAAAAATTCTGAGTCTCTCAAAAAAAAAAAAAGAAGACAAAAAAACCCCCAACAAAAACAAACAAAAAACTCACACACCCACTAACTAAATAAATACGGCCCATAGCATCTCCGGGTCACTAATTATCAGGTATTTATGGCTCACTGTAAACATTACCTATTTGGTTCTACTCCGTATGCTTAGAAAAATCTGCATTTGGTAAAATGACCTTTAGGTTGACATATAATTACCAAACTTTCATTCAAGTTTTTTTTTTTTTTAAATGCTAATTTGTTTTTTTTTTTGCAAATTTTAAAATGTTTGGTAAGTTATGAGAATATTTACCGTATGGATGACTCTCCAAAGTCATTTGGGAAGATCTACAGCTTTCAGTAGTGCTTTCCTGTATATTGGGCAAGTTGGACACATTTTCTGGACTGACTGCTTCCTCCTTTATGCTTTTGCACACAAAAAAAGACATTTTTAAAAGAAAAGTTTTAAAAATATTTAATAGTTAAAGTATTTGTAATCATACTTTGAAATTCTGTTGAAGTGATTTTAATTTTCCTTCTAAGACATACAAAAAATACAAAACTTCTAAAAATGTACTTTTCAATCAATCAATTGTACAAAAATGTACAATTCAATCAATCTCACCACAGGGCTGCTGAACTTCAGTACCACAGAAAAAGCATTTATACAGAAAGTCTAGTTAAGAGAACATTTAAAATCCTGATGGCAGCAATATTTCCTCTGAACTGTAGTCATAAAAACCTATTGTCACTAGTCTGCATGCTAAGCGGGGGGAGAAGACAAAGAAAAAGGGTTACTGATTCCCTTTCGCAAAGGATTTCAGTCTTTCATTTTTCATTCTGATTTGGAAAGAAATAAAAAAAATTCAGAATACTCTATTAAATAACAGTTCTTCACTTGTTAGTAAGAGACCTCTGGCTCTACAGCTGTACAGCCACAGGCTTCACAAGCTGGACTCAAGGATTTAGGAAGCATTGCAACAGAGACAAGCAACTTGAGATCCCTGAGATAGACCTGCAACTCTCTCCCCTCTGCAACAGTGGAGCAAGTTTCCATCAAAACATTACTGAGATGGACACAGCCTCATACAATTTTTGAAATGCTGAACCATCAGTTCAAATGAAAAATATTTTTTCCATTCGCTCCAAACAGCTAGTACTATAAAAGGACTGAGCCTATTCTAGCGAGCCTTTGGAGGCTCTCTGTTTTGGAGATTTAGCATTAATACCTATGGCAGGCATCCTTATTCAGAACTGAAGCAGCTGACTAATTACTTCAAAGGTAAATTATTAGGAATAGAGTCATTTTAATCCTAAATGATATCTTTAACCATTTACACCTTTAAAACATTCCTATCAGCTTTCCCAAATAATTCCCAATAAACAACTTAATGAGGTTAGGTAAAATATAGCACAGCAAATACAAACCAATAACGTTTGGGGGAAATTATTTCTGAGTTATGTAATTGAAATAATCAAACATTTCTTTTCAAAAAGTCAATATTCTAAGTTTTTCTGAAGAGTAATAGCCTTCAAATGTCTAAGTCAGACAAAAATCTAAACTTATTTAAAGCAATTGGAGTTCTACAAAATGTTTACATATTCTCATACCACACAGGCACCCTACAAGCAGCCAACCAGCAAGAATGCTCCGCATAAGCAGAGAAAGGACTTAAAGGTTAGGGGCTGACAACTGGGAAAGTAAATAGTGGATGAAGTTAGACAAAAGCCTGGTATATTAAATCCGGAATAAAGCACCACAGGTCTTCATAACCAATATGTAACTATGCATACTGTGTAACAAGAATATTCCTGCAAAAAAATGCTTTTAACCAAGGCCTGGTAACCTCTTGAAATGCGGAAACACTTGCAATGGAGAACAGTTTGTGTTTCTCAAACTCCAATAATCAGGAGCAACTAAGGAGTATTTTCCAAGCCTTCATGAGATGATATCCAAACATCACGTAAAGAGACCTAGGAACCTAGTGCTTTGATTGTCCATTTATCCACCAGCCAATCAGGCAGTGAATTGGAGAGATCCACATGCAGTGTTGATGTACCACAACCTCCTCCATCATCCTGGAAAAATTTGGGGAGAAGTTCCCAAAGAATAGTTTGCTGAAAAAAACCCAAACAACAAGCAAACCCAAAAAACTTATAATAGCATAGAAAATATCCTTCATCTTCACGTTATTTTATAGCATCTTTTACTGAGTATAAATGCTCTTAGTCGCCTCTGCTGCAATCATCATGATCAGAGATGCAGAAGCTGATGCATGATGTGCACCTGTTCAGTAATAAGGCACCTTCCTAGCCATGGATGACAATAGGTAAGAGACTGCACACCACACAGAAATCCAACACAAAACCAGAAAAAAGGTAGAATGCTTGTCAAAATAGCATAGACTAAGCAGAGGTAAAGTAATCTGTCACATACTTGGAAGATACTGAAACACCTTCTAACCCTCAGGTAATTCAGCTCAGCTTCTGCTTTAATACAGGGAAGGGAGTCAAGCACATGGAACAGCTCCCTGAAGAACTTACAAGACTGCTCATATGCTTCAAGCCAAAAAGAGCCGAATCAACTGCTGCTCTCGGGTAACGCTTCCAAGGGCCCCAGAGGCCCTGTCTCAGAAGACTTCCAAGACTGCCTCTTTCTGTCTTGGCAGATGCTGAGAGCATGCCAACTCAGCTCTGATGTCTTAAAGACATCCTTTAAGACAAGACAGCAGCATACTGATGTTAAGATAACAGAGCCAGTATTTTTTCACTGCATCGTTCTCAGATGTCCAGCAAAGAAAGAAGGGTAAAGGTGTGCTATTCATGATGCTATCACACACACATAACATCAGCATGTGAGGGAAATAAGTACATGCAGAAATGCACAAGGTTTACAGAACCACAGAGATAAATTCACTTGTGTCACATGCTCTGTCAGTGTCAGCTGATCTCAACTTCCCGTGGCGTCAAGAGCAGAGACAGTGATGAGGACCACTACATCTACAAACTGGCTTTCACAAGGCAGTAAGTGGCTTGAGCTGTGTACTGGATGATATATCTAAGCAGCCACCTGGTGAACAGATGCCAAAGGAGAGACAAGAACTGTATTCTTGTAACACTGACCTGGGTGATCTTGGGACTTAACAGTGCAGTCAGAAAAAGGTACTATGTTCAGGGGAAGATGACTGGGGGGAGGAAGAAAAACACTCAGGAATCTCACTAAAGTAGTTCTGGTCTACATTAGATATTCCAGGCAGTGAATCTTGATGGGGAAGGAAGGACCAAAGCCACAGCCAAAAAGACTGGATGTTGAGACAGCTACTCATTCCAGGGCCAGAGGTGATCTCCATTGTACACTCAGCAAGTAGTATTTGAGATGTGCAATCTACTTGTATGTTCTCAGTCCAGACACACTTAGACAATTCACGTGAAAGGGGAAAGCCCTCCTTCAGTTTCATCAGTAACTGCTGTACCACAGGCTCTCCTCCCACTGCACAGCATACCCAGGGAACAGCATATCATTTTGACTCAACACAATTACTCTGGCAACTTTATCTGATGGAAACTTTTTGAGTCCTCTCATTTAACTACTGCCTTAATTGTTGCCCTCAAAAAAAAAAAAAAAAAAAGGCTGCAGTCAGGTCTGCAGTCTCTGTTGTTTCAATAATAGTGTTGTGCTTGGTGAATCTGCACAAAGAAATCCAAGTGATTGCATTATATGTATTTGAAGTGGAACTGCTGCACACAGCACCACAACAGAGTTGTCTGGATTCAGGTATAACGTGCTCTGGTGACCACTATGAGGTCACCAACCTTGCTGTTTAATAACAGCATGAAGCAAGAAATAAATCTGAAAAGGTTCTGCTTGAGGTAGCAGAAGCCTCAGAGCCCAAGAGTCTTCTGTAAGGAATGAAACCTGTAAAAAGCCTTCCTAACATCAACAGTACAAAAGCTGTTCGTTCTCTCAAGTACCGATTTTTAGGGTTGAACACAACGTAGGAAAAAATTCTCTGGTTAAGACTAAGGTCTGACACAGTTTTAGATAAACACTGCAGAACTTCAATGGAAATGGAATTCAGAGGGAGCAGGCTAACTCACCCTTTTGGCTGGCATAAGTCACAGGAAACATAACCTTAATTATTGTATCTAACCCCGAGACAACACATCCATTTCTCATGATGGCAGTTCAAGGAGCTTTTATGATTATGAAGCAATACTTACACTCTTAAAAACACATTCGAGATTTGTTCCGCTCTTTGTAAATACTAAAAGATTTGGCTTGTCAGACAAAACCCAGTATTTTTTCAATGATGGCATTCCAAGCAGAGGAGCGAGTGGCTAAAGAAACACTCCTGAACAAGATGCCAGACAGGCCAGAATGAAAAACTACAGATGTCATGTTCGTATGAATTTTGAATTGACAGTCTGGGACCCTGGACAGACCACAGCAAAATTTGTTCTTGCACCTAGGTAAATTAACCAGCCTTGTAACTCACTGACGAAGCATGTTCTTAACTCTCACAATGAGGTTTAAAAAAAAATGTACCTCTTATTTATTTATTAAATCTGTGATATCCCTGAGGAAAAAAAAAAAAAACAACTACCACACGTACAGTATTTACTCAATTCTAACAATTTACAAAACAGATTGATCTGGAAACGCAAGGAAGACGTACACGGGGGCTGTTACTGCAAAAACAAACATGTAGCCATACTCATTAAGAATACAACCCTAACCCTTTTAAAACAAAAACTGACTAATCTTTCCAGCTTGAATACCGCAGTTGTACACACACCAACAATATGCTTTATTGGGGTGGTGTTCTGACTGGTAAGCACTCAGAAAAAGCTACTGATCATAATAAAGACAACGGAAATTGAGTTCAGACTCAAGTTTTTATCATAAACTTGACTAGCCACCTCAAAGGCTAGTTTAAGATTTTCTAGAATTTGTGTTTTCCCTTCCATAATATTTTTATGGCTACAGAATATAGTCAGAGAAAAGCAGATCTGCACAAACACTATTATCTTTATGTCTAAATGAAAAACATATTCAGTAATATTAATAATGTAAATATCTAATTAATGCAATGGAATTTTTTCCTGTACTAAAACATACGCTGAAAAAAAGTGGTAAACTTACAAAGTCTCCAACTTCTTCTCATGAGATACCACCTTCACATGTCTGCACAACTTCTGAAGTTGTTTTATATGTTCCGGATTGTCTGTTCCCAGCCCCATAGACAAAATCTCAGATCGAACATTGTATTCATTGACAGATGTCTTCAAATTTGAAAGCCTGGTAACTCGGACCTTGAATTACAGAACATAATACATGAACACAATAGTTCATAGACTGTTTCTCTCCACCTCTAGGCTGTTCTTCAAATAAAACAATAAACGTATCCTCATTTATTTATACCTGTAAACAATTAGTTTTCTCCAGTTTTCAAAAGGGAAAATTTCTTACCTACGTTCCATTGATTTCAAAGTATCACCCTCTTTTCCACTCTGGTAACAGCTCAAATAACCAATAGCTAGTTCCATCTAACAGAACCAAGAAGGCAAAGAGTATGAAACCCTGGTCCTGATTACACAGGTTTCAGCCAAAACACACAACATACTTCAGTAGTTACTTTAGCTGTGACTAATTTCTAGACCCAAAGAACGATAAAACTGCTGGGGCAGTGGGAAGCAAATAAAAACCCAGAACACCAAAGAAATAAAAGTACAAAAATCAAAGACAAAGTACTGAGACGCACTAGACCGGAAAAGAAGCTATTAGTGAGGATTACTTCTAGATGATTTTTTCTTTCTACTTTTTTCATCTGCAATAGTTGACTGAAAGCACAGACAAAAAATTGCAAGATACATTCCAAAACACAGGAATACCTTACTACGCTCTGTGGCAAGACTCAGCAGCCACAAAAAGCACATCACAGATATCGTAAAATGAACTTAATTTAAGACAGACATCATGACAATGCAACCAGCTTGATCAGACCACTGTTAGAGAGACTTACAATGCACGGGGATTTTTATTTTTGCCCTTTATTGTAACTTTCAGAACAGATAGTGCTATTTTGCCTTTTAAAGGTTTCCTTTGAAGACAGATAGAGTTAAGGCAATCTCTACCTGCAAGTTTTTGGGAGACTAGGAGAATATTTAGGGGAAGCATTACCGTATGCATGACCTACTCTTAACTCTTCCCTAGCCAATCTCTTCCAGCCAGTACTGCAAACAGCGATACTTGGTCCAGTCCGTTCTTATGGGCCACAGAACGGACAGAGGAACAACATAAACATGGCACTGACCTTGAAGTTCTAATTCCAGGAAAAGCTTAAAAAGTCAACCTTTGGAGAGAATCAATATTTAAAGCAGTTACGCCTTTTGTCCGAGATTACTACACTGATAAAACATAACAGAATCTCTTAAACTCTGGAAGGATCAGAATCACAGCCTTTTATATTAAACTGATGGTTATGGGTCCCCTTTTGAATGCTGACAGAAAGAAATTCAGTCGATGCCCCAAAGAGCAACAAATCTTCCAGATGATTAGCACAGGTAAAAGGATACCAAAAACAAGAACAAAAACACCTATTCTTGCTACTCTGATCAAAACTCATGGGGGAGGGGGTGGGTTTAAGAGCTTCTTCTAATTTGTAGAAAAACATGGAATCAAACTTGCTGCAGGAAAAAGGATTGCAAGAAAATATGAAAAACTCAAGAAGAAACCAGGGCATTTAAAAAGAGAGCATCAAATCTAGAAGTTCACTGTACCTGAATCACTGCAGAAACAAAAATATCACAATACAACTGTTATATACTGATCATTGTTCTCGCAATGTGGACAGATGAGGAAGAAACATCACCTTCCCCAACGCCAAGCTGGCGCAAGAATCATAAAAGACAGCAAAGTCTTAGAAATATAAAGAGAATAAATCTCTAGAATATACCTCTAGTATAAGAGGTCTTAGACATCAGCAAATAATCTTAACATTAAAGAACAAGTGTCATTCTTTCAGAGGAAAGTGTGACAAACTATATAATTGATTTTACAAGAAAATAATGTTTAAAAAATAGTTTTTCCAAAATATGTTATTAGCTTTTTTGGAAGAGTCTGAATGACTTTTAGAATTCATTTGTTGCTCTGTTACTGGTGCAAACTCAGCTTTCCACATTTACAGTTCAAGATATACTCAACCACATATTCTATGTACGCAAACACTAATATTAATGAAGAGCATTATGTGGAAACTGAACAGAATAAAATTAAAATAAGAAACAACAGAAGAAAAGGAAGAAACAAAACTATTTATAATGGAGTTTAGATAAAAATATTAAATATGTTCTAATGCCGTAATTTTATACTTACCATTGGGTCAACCCAAATTGTATTTCCCAAAGTAAGCACCATTTTTGCTTCATGTGGTTTTCCTTTAATTTTGTGATAAATATGACTAGTAACCTAAGAAAAACAATTTTCACTCCATTTGAGATGTACAGCATAATTTTGCAGCTATTTTAAGCTCAGAAAGTTACTTCATTGTAATTAACAATAAGGGTATTTAACAAATAAAAAACCCAATTTTTGAATTAGCTGATGAAATACTCAAAGTATTAACAGATTAAAAGAGTATCACTCCTTGAGGAAGGAGCTTCCTTAACAGAAGGACACTCAATCACAGACCAATTTACAGAGGTTACCCTTCCCGCTGCTCCCCACAGATTCAAGAGTACCAATAACTTATTTTGGAACAGGTCATATGCACTCTTCCCTCACTTTGAAAAATTCTGAAGAAAAGAGAAAAAAAGATTTTTGGGCTTCTCCAAAGAGTTCTTTGGAAAACATTTCCTAAAGAAGCAGTATGAGATTTATCAGTTGAATTGTACTGATTAAAGCATCACTTCCTGAAATATCCACTCAAAGCTGTCTTTTGACAACAAAGAGTAAACTAGCTGGTAAGGCAGAGTATTAAAGATCATCTTTTACTTAACTTCCGTTTGAAGAAAACATGAATGCTTACTGTGACTAATACATCATGTATTACATCATTTGGAAGAACTATCCTATACATTTCACTTTATTATTCTGTAGGCATAAAACCAAGAGAACTAACTTCTTGGAATTATCTGGCCCAGTAATACAGGTATCTGTTGGTACAATTAACAAAAAACAACAACAACAAAAAAAGAAATTTGAGAATTAAGTTTACACTTTTTTAACTGCTTCCCCATAGAAAATAAAAAACAGAAAATTTACAGAACTTAAAGGAAACACTAGGAAAAAATGGATGAACTGTACCCTTGGGTTCCATTCAATTTCATTATCAATGGGTTTCACGCTACAAACTATAAATTCCACAGCCTGAGGTGGCAGACACTGAAATCTTGCAGGTAACTCAAGCAGTCGATGGCTCTCTACTTGACTCATTCTGCCTTCATCTATGTATTTAATTGTAACATTAAAGAATAATTTTTCTTCTTCCTTTGGGGAAATCTCTAGTACCTGAACCCTTCACAAGGGTGAGAAAAGAAAAACTGAATTATTATTCATACTATCAGTTGTAAAAAAAAGTTTTCTTTTTTAATTTACTCTTTCCTAATCTTTTAGGAATGAAAATTTCATAGTAAGTTAAAACATAAAACTTCTATTTCTATATTAAAATATTACACATTTTCTATAAAATATCACATAGAAATATGTGCATGTGCACACATGTGCGCTTCTTCACTCTATTTTCCATTTGCTAAATTAAAAAAAATACAGGCTGGCTTTTTAAAGACCGTCTTTTTAAAGACTGATTTGAATAGCAGTAGGGTTTTTAGTTTGCTGCTTTCTTTTTTTTAAATAGGGAAGGTTTAGGTTATTTTGTGTTAAAAAGTGCACCTGAAAGTTATTTAAAATTATTTTTACCTGTGAAAAAATGTTTCCTCGTATAATCCATACAATGTTAGTTTCTCCACCTTTTCCACAGAGACGTTATTACTAGGTTTCTTAAAATACTCATTAATTTCTTCAGCAAGAATTGCATATTGGTCCTTTTGTTTATCTACTATGCGACCAAAGTAGTTTGTTGCATTTACAATATGCAGAGGCACGACCTGAAAACATAAGATACATTGAAAAAATGGAGGAGTGGATGATTTCTGAGATTAATGACATATGCATGTTCTCGTATCCAAGATCACTTATGTTTTGCAAGCCCAGAGAAGCGACAGAGGTGCACAAATTTCAGAAACAGGTAAGAATACAAATACTACTAACTGACCATTCTCCAGAGTCTAGTGGATACATATTCATACAGCAAGAACCAATACCTTAAGTCTCAGTTAATGGTATTCCACTTAAAAAACACCAGTGAACTATATTGCCACTGGCCAAGGTGCTAGCTACTAAGGCACTACACACTATTCAGACTTAATTCTAAATATTCTGGCCATGCCAGTGGAAGCAGTGAGAAAGAGCTGGGGGAATGAGGCCAGACAGCATAGTAAGAGGACCAGAAAGATTATTTCCACTTAGTAAAAACCCTGAAAGAGCACAGTGTGTCTTAAAGCAATGAAGCATTTTACCGGATTCTGAACTAAAAAGGAAAGTGCGTTTGAACAGGTCTCAAACTGATAACTGAATCGCACAAAAGACACCTGGGTTCTGCAGTCAGGATAACCAGAAGTAACTAGATGAGGAAACAGGAAGAGGAGGCCACAACTGCTGTCTCAAGTGCACCACAGGGAGTCCCTGCTTCCAATAGGAGTCTCATGAAATCTTTCATGGCCTCTGGCAACTATGAAAACTCAACACATGCAGCTTGTCAAAGGGTTTGAACTCATACCTACCAACAAAAGCTTGTATATCAGGCAGAAATGATGATGCCAAAGAAGCCATCCAGTTCTCTATTTTCTGTCCTCACCACCATTGACATTTGGGGACTGATAATGCCCTTTAACTGCTTGACTTGAAGGCACCTGACCTCTGTACAAGCCAGAACAGGAAGAAGGTGGAAGAGGCTGATCCAAATGTGAGACATCCAGCACCTCTTAGACCTAAGTGCTACCTTTAGAAATAATAACTGATGTCTACATTTGCCCTTAGCAATCATCATCTAACAAGGAGCCAAGAAGAGAGGCTGTACAATACTGCAGTAAGGGAAGAGACCCCAGTATAGAAGGGAATGACATGCCAGGTGAAGAGAGCTGGAGACAGACATTGCTGGGACGTTAAGAACAACAACAGCAAAGTCAAACCAACAACCATGAAGGTTTGTTGATTGTGAAACCATAAGAAAAAACGTCCAGGTAGAAGGGCACTCTGTCAAAAGTTTAAAAAGTATTGACACCTTAGTAGGAAAGACCATCCCATCTTGGGAGATGAGGGAGGAGGTGTATCACATTCCTCTGTGGATACATCAGGTGAAAAAATACTAGTCCAAATAGCAGGACCTGAATACACTCTTTTTTCCAGCAAGTCTGATTTTAGTAAAGAAAAAATTCTTGCTTCTAACAAAGCATGCATTCTTTTCCAATTACACTTCTCTTCCCTCTCCTCTAGAAGATTAACTCTTGTCTCTTCTACAATGAACATTAATTATTGAACTCTATAGCAACTTTAACTTTTGTCAATTTTGGTCAATGGTTTCAATTTATGGGAGGAAATAAACAGAACATAAGACACCTGCCCATAGAAAGCTAGGCTAGAAAAATTATCATTATTAAAGCAGAAGAGAGTCAGAGGGCAACTTAGAATCACCTGCAAAACAATTTTAGCTCAGACTAAGAAGGAATAAGGAAAAACATGACACTGCTTATTTACGCTACAACCCCTGCAAGTGTGAGATGAAAAAAACCTAAAGAACAAACATCCCAGAGATATAGTATATAATACAATAACATTAGTATAATCTAAAAAAAAAAAAAGTAGTAATATTACTACTGACATATTATTGACATATATGTCAAATATAGCTACTTAAGACCTGTCTTCTTGGTACCTGAAAATAAGATAGATACTAACAACTTACTGTCACACACCCAGGCGTTGGTGTAATTTTATCTGGCACATTCCGGGACATGTCTGTTTGTACATTAATGTGATGACGGTCTGGACACACTCTTCTATTTCTATGTATTGGGGGAAAAACACAGTTTAGAAAAGAACCTTTTGTTTTCCGTGGTAAAACGTGACTTAACACACTAAAACTCTGCAGCAGCCCCAAATGGGATAGAAGTTGATTATGGAATTGCACCAATGCTCAGGGAGACAGGTAGATAAAACTGTAAAAACAATCTTAATGGCTGAAGTTTGTAATAAAAATATCACCTTATTTCAGGGGAAAATAAGCACGAAAAATTAACTTTTTTTTGTTCATTACTCATAACAGCATTTACACTGAAGTCATACCTGCGAACGCTTTAGCTTCCTCCCTCAGGAACTACTTACATTCCTGTTGTACACAGCTCAGAGAAGTCATCATCTACTTGCCCACCTTCGAGGGACAGGAGAGGATAGGGGAGAGGGTAAAGCACGTACTGGCACTGCAGAATTGTGTCTAGAATACTAATCAAAGCAATGGCTTGAAGCTCACTCTAGTACATCTGGGTAAGAGTTAGGAGCAATTATGCTACTATGTCAGACTATGTATTAGTCTCCACAAAAATATGTTAATATTTTTGCTCTTATAGAAGTACCTAACGAATGAAACAAGTAAAACAGTGAAGAGGGAATCATGAGCAAAAAACTGACCTGAATAAAAGTATCCAACAAGAAAATTAATCAAGTAATTGGTAGCAGTAACCATTCAGAGCAGATAATGCCTTGTTGTGTAAGTACGGGTGTTGGGAAAACTCGTTATTTCCTTACTTGCAAAACCCGAGTGTTTTGAGATAGATGCACAGTGGCCTTTCAAGCTTCTTCTCTTCTTCAGCTTCTAGCGCCCTGGCAGTAAAATCATGCAGTTCTGGTGGAATTTCAGCTTCAGCACGCTTCAAATAGTGCAGGACCCCAGGAGCATGGCACGCATCGTTTTCTGTTAATAGTAAGACTGACCTTGCTTTTGTATATTCCTGATCGACAAAAGAACCCTAAAAAAAAGTATTTTTAAAAAACTTTTAACTTATCCACTGTGTAAGTATCAAACGTTGATAATAACTTTTCCAAGAATTACTCAAACCTTCTCTAGCACATTGTGGAAGTTCTCAGACATGTTGTGTAGACGCTGACCAAAGATTCTTGGAGAAGGAGGAAAACTGAAATGTATTACGCAAGTTGCATCTGTAATTCCCAAAGACTGCATGCAGTCATCTGTTAAGACTAAAAATATGTTTTATAAGCACAACATATTTAAGAATTACTACAGTTATCTTAAGTATTACATCACATTTGTCACAGCTGCTTTCTTTTCCCCATTCATTGCTTCAAGAACCAAGAGAAAGGTCTTTTCTAATACACTCGCATAAGGTATTATGTTTCTTCAGTCAATAAATTTCATAGGCATACGGCAAAGACACAGGATTACACACTAGTCTCCTCTAATCATCTCTTGTATAATCTTTTATCTTGTATCAGTATTATCAAAGCTTAAACCTGATTTATTTAGTTCATCTTCAAACCACATTTACCATCAAAACATTCCTCATCCAAGGACAAGGCAAACTATAAAAAAGGGGAAGTAAAAGACTTTCAACTGCCTTCCCTGCAGACATTTCTAAAATGTAACAACGTATTAACCCAAAGAATCTGCATAACCCGGGTTAAGAGCCGATTTTCCAAGAAACGGAAGAGGAAATATCTCCAGATGCCCAGTCTTTACCTAGAAGGTTCTCTGAGATGCTATAGGACATTGGCATTTGTAGAAAACCAGGGTAGAGGAGCAGAGGTTATTCAAGACTTGAGCAAGCAAAACTGTTGTTGTACTAAAAACTAGCCAAGATCCTCGCAAGGGTAACCATACAGATAACATCAAAGGTTTGTGGCTTTGCTCCAGTTCAAGTCCTTGTTTCTGACACTGGCTAACAGACATGCCTAGGAAAGCTGCAAGACTAGGGCAAGCATATAGCAATACCCCCACCCTTGTGTTCAAGATTCAGTAGGGTGGTGTATCTTGCAATATAACAGTCCCTAAAGTATTA